AAATGAAATGAAATGAAATAAAATGAAAATAAAATGAAAATAAAAATTAAAAAATTAAAAATAAAATAAAAATAAAATAAAATGAAATAAAAAATCAAATAAAACAAAACAAAACAAAATGAAGAAGCTGGGAGAGGAAGCATCTGTCACCAGTGACCTCGTCCTGTTTGCTTCTCTCCGTGCCTCAGTTTCCCCATCTGTAAGGCAAAGCCGGCATTTGCCTCATCTGGAGCTCCAGGGTTGGAGATTTTTAATGCAATTGAGTCCTCTCCCTCCCCCCAGGGTGAAGAATTGAGGTCCATCTCTCCATCTCTCTGGTGGCTTTGCTGGGTAGGGACACACCCAGTACCTCCAGCCATGGGGGATGGTGAGACCCCCTATCCCTCAGAGATGGGTCACCGAGTTCTTCCTACACTTGGGAACAGGTTTTGCTCCAGGGCTCCATAAAACCTGGTCATGGGCATCACGTTCCCTCCTGCCAGGAGGAGGAACCAGCAGCTCGTGTGCTATTGCAGGGCCATAAACTTTATCTGCGCGGAGATGCGGAAGCGATGGCTGATACCACAGCTGGGGAGAACAGGGAGGGACTGACCCCTGTCTCCATCCAGCCTTTGAGATGTTTGGCTTGGTGGTTCCATCCTCCCAGCATTTCTTCTGCTTGTTTCTCTGTAGAGCATCCTGGTTACATGGACCAAGGGATTCAAATGCAGCAGCGTGGAAGGGAAAGATGTGGTGTCCATGCTACGCAAGTCCATCAAGAAAAGAGGGGTAAGAGGTTGGGCAGATCTCCAGCTCTTGGGGTGGTGGGATTGGGGACACGTGGTTCCCTGGGACAGGACACTGAGGGTTCTGCACCTTGGCTCTGTTTTGATCATGCTGACTCAGTGTCTCTCTCTCTCCTCTCCACCATCTCAGGACTTTGACATTGACATCGTGGCCGTGGTGAATGACACCGTTGGGACCATGATGACCTGTGGCTACGATGATCATAACTGTGAAGTTGGCCTCATTGTGGGTGAGCTGTAGCATGGGGGTGAAGAATTGAGGTCCATCTCTCCATGAACTCCAGATTATCTCTTTAGAAGGAATTTCTTTGCTGTGAGGGTGGTGAGCCAGTGTCCCAGGTTGCCCAGAGAAGCTGTGGCTGCTCCTCCCTGGAAGTGTTCTCGGCCAGGTTGGATGAGGCTTTGAGCAACCTGGTCTAGTGGAAGGTGTCCCTGCTGCTGGCAGGGGGGTTGGAACTGGATGAGCTTTAAGGTCCCTCCCAACCCAAACCATTCCATGATTTTATGATTAAGGTTCTTGCAGGTTTTAGGGTCTTTTTTTGGGGGGAAAAAGCAAGATGACAGTGATGGTAGAAAACCAACATTGCCCAATGGTTGTGTTCTTCCATCTTTGCTCTATATGATGCATTTGGCTGTTGCCAACTTGGGGAATTTAATGAGGAATAAGGGAAAAGCAACATCTTCTCTCACCACACCCCCGTGCTCGGTCCAGGTACCGGTACCAACGCCTGTTACATGGAGGAGATGAGACACATTGACCTGGTGGAAGGGGATGAAGGTCGGATGTGCATCAACATGGAGTGGGGAGCCTTCGGTGACGACGGCGTGCTCAACGACATCCGGACGGAGTTTGACCGCGAGATAGACATGGGCTCGCTCAACCCTGGCAAACAATTGTAAGCAGATTCTTGGCTCGGGGTTTGCTCCTCATTGTCCCTCCTCTCATTGAGCTGGAGTTAGTGGGACAGAAGAGGTCATTCCAGTTAACTAGGTCACCATGTCCTCTGCCCTGTCAGCTACGCCAATGGTTGCATGAGAAATTTGGGTTGGTACACCCAACTGAGGCACTCAATACCCTCTTCCTTCCTGAACCTTGCACTTGAACATGTTTTCCATGAAATTATCTGCCAACCAAGGCAAACACCACCACCTAATGTCCACATCGAAGTCCTACAGACCTCCCATTCTCCAGATGGCTCCTGGAAGCATGGGTGGGATTTTTTTGGGGGGGAGGGGGATGTCTCTGCAAAGTGATAGATCTCATTCAGGTGATTTTTGGGGGTGGTGGGTCTCTGCTGGGATCTGATAGATCCCATTCAGGTGATTTTTTTTGGGGGGTGGTGGGTCTCTGCTGGGATCTGATAGATCCCATTCAGGTAGCCATGGGTTCTCCTGGCAGGATTATGGTTGTGTCCACATGGTTTTAGTTTTTCAGTGGTGGGATAAATGACCCTGGAAAGTTGACCTTTGGGTTTGAAAGGCTGCCAAGTGTTTTTAAAGTCAGTCTGTGGCCACCTCGTGGCATGTGCAGCCAAACAGACACATCTTGTGCTTTCCTCCATGGGCAGGTTTGAGAAGATGATCAGTGGGATGTACATGGGAGAGCTGGTCAGACTCATCCTGGTGAAGATGGCCAAGGAAGGGCTCTTGTTTGGAGGAAGGCTCACACCAGATCTGCTCACTACTGGCCACTTTGAGACCAGATACGTCTCTGCTATTGAGAAGTAAGTAGGATCTGGATGGTTTCCTGAGGTTTCAGCCCATCTCCTGACATCTGTGTTGGGGGAAAACAGGACCCATCACAGGGCTGTCCACTGAGCAAACCAGGACACTTCAGATGGTGAAAGCTGGAATGAATGAATGAATCCCTCTTTGTTCTTTGATGTGCAGGGAGAAGGAAGGGCTGCAAAAAGCCCATGAGATCCTCACCAAGCTGGGCGTGGAACCATCTCATGAAGATTGTGTGGCCACCCATCGCATCTGCCAGATTGTCTCCACCCGCTCAGCCAACCTGTGTGGGGCCACTCTGGCAGCCGTCCTGCGGCGCATCAAGGAGAACAAGGGGGTGGACCGGCTGCGGTCCACAGTGGCCGTGGATGGCTCCGTCTACAAGAAGCATCCTCAGTGAGTCCATGAGGATGGGCAAGGCTGGTGGGGAGAGAGGGTGAGAGAGGACAAGAGATCTGTTCCTACCAGCTGTGGATAAAACTTGGCACAAGTAGAACATCTCCCAATATTCCTCCTGGGCACCTCCGTATGGATCCCAAAGGGATTTACAACCCCACCCCAGAAGGTGACATCACCCATGGTGGCATAACTCAGGTCCTCTTTCCTCCTCCGTAGCTTTGCCCGACGCCTCCATAAGACGGTGAGGAAGCTGCTGCCAGACTGTGAGATCCGTTTCGTGAGGTCAGAAGATGGAAGTGGCAAAGGAGCAGCCATGGTGACAGCGGTGGCTTACAGACTGGCTGCCCAGCACAAAGCACGGCAGAAGATTTTGGAGGCCCTCAAATTAAGCCATGAACAACTCCTGGAGGTGAAGCAAAGGATGAGGATAGAGATGGAGAACGGGCTGGGCAAGGAGACGCACGCAGAGGCGACGGTGAAGATGCTGCCCACCTACGTGTGCTCAACTCCAGATGGGACAGGTGAGGTACCATGGATATCACTGCTCCAACACCTGCATCTCTGAGGGAAGGGCTGGGACCTTTGCCATGGGCAGCTCCATCTTTGTGGTGGGAGTGGGACAGAGCTTTTTAACTTCCAGTATGATACTGGGAAAAGCAGCTGAGCCTCCAGGACGTTCTGCACTTGACTTCACACAAAGCCTGCTGTGGTTTTTGCCACCACAAGTTTCTCACCACCATTGTCCTGGGTTGTGCTCCCAGTTCCGTCGGTGGATTGGGTGTGCACCTGCCCCTTTGGCTTCAAGCTCCATGATCTCCTTGGAGGAAACCACCCCATCACCTTCCTACCTGCTCTTGCTGGTCTCCATTCTCAGCCACCTCTTGGTTTCTGGTCCTCTCTTGATTTGGACCACGTTCATTATGCCTCTTGTTGGGATTGTCTCCTAATGATTCTCTCTTGGCTTTCAGAAAAAGGAGATTTCCTTGCCCTGGACCTTGGAGGGACCAATTTCCGGGTGCTGCTGGTGCGCGTGAGGAACGGGATGAGGCGCGGCGTTGAGATGCACAACAAGATCTACTCCATCCCGGTGGAGATCATGCAGGGGACAGGAGAGGAGGTGAGGATGGAGGCAGCTGGAGGTGGAGAACTGGGGCACCTTCCCTGGGGTGGCAGCAGAAGTGGCAGACAGTGGTTGGTGCCTGACCACGGGAGCTGGTTTTGCATTGCTCTGCCTTAAAACCAGGGGTGGAGAAGGTTGGTGCTCTCCTGCCTTTAGAGCAGGAAGTTCTGCCCAAGGCTCTGGAGTTTGAAATGTGCTTTGAGAAGCTCGAGACTGGTTTTTAGGTTAGAAATGGTGTTAATTCCCAGACATCACTGAACCTCCCCAGATCCCACACACTCCACAGGGGCAGATAAGAATCATCTCCATTTCCCAGGTGGAGAAACCACAACACAAGCAGTAGGAGATGTCTCCAGAGACTTATTTGCAGATGGAAAGAGTTTTGCAAACCACTCCAGGCAGTGCTCAGGGACTGGGAGTATTTCTGGCAGACGGGCTCTGGAGATACTTTGCAGAGGAACCAGATTCCCATGTCATCATGGGGAAGCTGGTCACCTCCCCACTAGCCCCTTCCATCCCTTCTGGGTGCAGTGTGGGACCTGCAAGGAGAAGGTATCAGGGTGAAATGACCACATTGTTGGTGGGGAAGAGGATGAAAGAGGAGGTGTTTTGGGCTTGCTCACCTCACACCCTGCTCTGTTCAAAGCTGGGAGTAGATCAACATCTCCAGTGGGTCAGGCAGGCTGGTGTCCAGCTGAGTTTCTTGCTGTGATGGTAACTTCTCCTGTTTTGGTTTTGACCTCAGCTCTTTGACCACATTGTCCACTGCATCTCTGACTTCCTGGAATACATGGGAATGAAGGGTGTGTCGCTCCCGCTGGGATTCACATTCTCCTTCCCTTGCCAGCAGAACAACCTGGATGAGGTAACTCCAACCCACCTGGTAGCATGTCCAGTGCCCATGTCTGGTTGCAAGGCCAGAGCACGCTGGAAACTCCACGTACCAGCAGCAATGACCACGTGGTGGGTCAGATAGAGACCCAAGAGAAGGGGAAGGCAGGAGCTCAGAGCTGCCAGTGCTTCTGAAAAGCCTCTTTGCTCCATCAAAGCAAACACAGATCCCTTGAGTTCTGGTGACAACCCAGTTGAGGCATCCTCCACGTGTGAGGATCAGACCTCCACATGCTGGGTGGTGCCCACCAAGAGCTGGTGGACGTAGGGTGACCATCCCTCCTGCCCAGCAGCCTGGGTGAGTTACTGTGGGCTGTTTCCACAACAGGGAATTCTCCTGAAGTGGACAAAAGGTTTCAAGGCAACTGGCTGTGAAGGAGAAGATGTGGTGAGCCTGCTGAAGGAGGCGATTCACAGGAGAGAGGTGAGTGTCCACGTAGCTGTGAGAAGTTGGCTCCTTGCTCTCACGTCCTGGTTGTCTTTAGCATCTTTAATTGGCCTGGAAAGCAAATTAATGGGCTGAGCACAGGGCTAATGAGTGTCTGAATTTTAACAGCCACCCTTAGTCATCACCAGAGGTTGGATTTTCAGACCCTGGAGCTAAGAGCTGGCTTCTGGCCAGGGCTGGAGCAGACTTGTCTCACCATGAATTAGGAAGACACCAAGCTCATTCCCTCAGTGCAGACCACCCAGAGCTCCTGCCCTGGGGGCTGTTTCTGGCCAGGCTGTCCCAGCTCCTCTGCAGTTGTGTCTTGAAGTTTGAGCGTCCACCTGCAGACATGTGGGGCTGCAGGAAGTCTGTGGGTGCCTGAAGGACTCCCACACTCAGCAGACAGGTCCTTTCCCAGTCATGGAAGGAGATGTAGGAAGCTGTGTCCTCCAGGAATAACCCAGAGAACTCCATCCCTCTGCAGGAATTCGACCTGGACGTGGTCGCGGTGGTCAATGACACAGTTGGCACCATGATGACCTGTGGGTACGAAGATCCATATTGTGAAGTTGGGCTGATAGTTGGTGAGGACTGAAACTTTCTTATGGAATTCTTCTGCCCATGGTCCCAAACCCATCCCCATGGGATGCTCCAGAAGGTGTCTAAGGGCTTTTATCTTGCGTACGTGCCCCACTTCTCCAACAGCCCCACTGCAAGATGATGCTTCTTCTCTCTCTGCAGGCACAGGCAGCAACGCCTGTTACATGGAGGAGATGAGGAACGTGGAGCTGGTGGAAGGGGAGGAGGGCAGGATGTGTGTCAACATGGAGTGGGGGGCGTTTGGTGACAACGGCTGCTTGGATGACGTACGGACAGAGTTTGACCTGGCAGTGGATGAGCTGTCTCTCAACCCTGGGAAGCAAAGGTGCGTGGTGGCTTTGGTGGGGTTGAGTGTCCAGGAATAGTTCAGTGGTGGCCCATCAGCCTCTTGGTAAAGCATCAGAGGATGATGAGCAGAGCAGAGTCTGGCTTTGTAATGCACTGATGTGTCCCCTGTCCCCTGCCCACAGAGTGGGGACTGCACTGCTGGACTTCTCCAGGGTGTCTGGCCAGGGAGGGTCTGGCAAAGGCATCTGGCAGAGCTGGAATCCTGATCCAGACCCAGTGTCTCTTCTTGTCCTGATGTCCAGCCTTGCCCTCTCTCCTTCCCAGGTTTGAGAAGATGATCAGTGGGATGTACCTGGGGGAGATCGTCCGAAACATCCTGATGGATTTCACCAAGCGGGGGCTGCTCTTCCGGGGACGGATCTCAGAGAGGCTGAAGACCAGAGGGATCTTTGAGACCAAGTTCTTGTCCCAGATCGAAAGGTGAGATCCAACAGGTGGGGTGAGCACCAACTTTGGCCTTAGAGCTGCAGATCAGAGCAGAGATGGAGTCTGGGGAAAGTGTCCCCAGGGCTTGTGGGAGAAGTCCTGGAGCTGTGGTGACATAGGGTGGGGGGACACAGATAAGTCAGCAAGATCCACGTGGTCCAGAAATTGTCTGGGGTTGGCAACACAGAAACCTCTGGACATAGAGGGGCCACAGGTTCAGTAGTTGTCATGTTCCAAGTCAATGGCTTTGCCCTGAAGTCACCTCACTGATTAGGATGTGACATCAGAGCCACATCCAGATCTGAAAGCTGAGGTTAGAGAGGAGCTGTAGAGTCCCACCAGTGCGTGTCACCCGAGCTGCGAGGCCCTGGGCTCTGCAGGATGTAGATAAGAAAGGAGAAGCCACACACCCAAGTTGCACCATCTCCTAATGCTGCCTGACCCTCGTGTCCTCCCCAGCGACTGCCTGGCCCTGCTCCAGGTCCGCTCCATCCTCCAGCATCTGGGTTTGGAGAGCACATGCGACGACAGCATCATCGTGAAGGAGGTGTGCACAGTGGTGGCCCGGCGGGCAGCTCAGCTCTGTGGAGCTGGCATGGCAGCTGTGGTGGACAAGATCCGGGAGAACCGCGGGCTGGACTTCCTCAAGGTCACAGTTGGCGTGGATGGGACCCTCTACAAGCTCCACCCTCAGTGAGTTGCTCAGTGATGTGTGGTTGTCCTCCAAGGGGGCTCACACTGGTGTATCTGCCCCTACTTGTGCTAAGTAAGAGCCAGTGTGGAAAGCTTCACGTGGTTGTTGGAGAGGAGAGGAGATATTTTAGGGTCTCAAGAGCTGCCAGTAGTTCACTGATCTAAACTCTTGTCAAGGGACAGCAAGAACCAGCTGCTCCTTCAAGGATGGGCCACCAAGACAGATAATACAGCAGGGACCTTGCACCAGCCAGGAGCCAGTCCCACATTACCTGAGAGCAGGTTGACCCAGAGATGGTGACCAGGTTCAACCAGGAGTCCAGATCCTCAGGCAGAGTCATGGGGATGAGGCAGGTCTAAACCAAGAAGTCAGTCCATGATGTGGATCAAGAAGGCCCATAGCCAAGCAGACCTTTGAGTACAGCTGAGCTGAAGGCTGGTGCTCCTTGGACAACATTGCTCATGTGAGGACTAAAGCCACAGGGCTGAGCTTAAATAGGGCTCAGGGACCCATGGGTAGAGGGAGGGCCCTGAAGAACCCCCAGGTGAGGCTTGTCAAGGCTATTAAGGTTTATTAGTGCTCTCAGGGCTTGGTGGGACTGGAGAGGAGGTCACATTTAGTCCTGAGTAGAGGGAGAACATGATGATGTTGTGCTAAATCTGGAGTTGGGCCAGAGCATGGAGAGTTACACTGTCCAGTGCCTCCTACCTGGCAGCAATCTCTCCATCCACCTTTCTCCTCTGCATCTCTAGCGTTGTTGGAGATGCTGTTTGAAGGCAACTCTGGTGATAGATACCAAGTGGTTTGGTCCTTCAACCCAAGACAAGTTCAATCAACATCTCTTCCTTCTTTCCTTCCTTCCCCCCCTATAACTGTACCCTCCAGCTTCTCCACCGTCATGCACGAAACAGTGAAGCTCTTGTCTCCAAAGTGTGAAGTGACCTTCCTGCAGTCGGAAGACGGTAGCGGCAAAGGCGCGGCGCTCATCACGGCGGTCGCTTGCCGGATCCGGGAGGCCGGCCAACGATAGAAGGAAGGAGGTTTTGCTGAAGAGTTTGGTTTCAGTAACACAGGACGTTTCCTCACCTGGTCCCTCCTTCCCTCCCTCCCCTCTGTGCACACACTCACTCACACACACAAGCAGACTCTTAGCTTTACTTGTTGTCTTTGAGATCCCACCAGTGGGATTGGAGATGCCGTGTGCTTTGGACAAAGAGTTGTCTTAGGAATTTTATTGCATGCCATAAAAAAAACAAAACAAAACACAAAACAAACAACGAAAAAACCCCAACAAACCACCCACGTATCAAGTAAAGCTAAAAGTGTCTGTTGGCTGTCTACCTACATTGGTTGTCTACCTACATTGGCCATCTACCTACATTGGTTGTCTACCTACATTGGTTGTCTACCTACATTGGCCATCTACCTACATTGGTTGTCTACCTACATTGGTTGTCTACCTACACTGGCCGTCTACCTACATTGGCTGTCCATCTACATTGGCTGTCCACCCACATTGGTTGTCTACCTACGTTTCCAGTTAGAGCTGGACCTGTTCCTCCATCAAACCCCAGTTCTCCTCCTCCCCACGTCCTCCTAAACCACTCTCACATCTTCCCTCGAGGAGAATGCTAGAAGAATTCAGACACTGCATTGTCACTTTACCTCTTTGCTGTACGTGGGAGTCGTTAGCGTGTCCGTGCTGTAGAAATCAAACCTCGTTAAGATTGGGCTAAAGACCTCCGTTAGGCTTTTACCCTGATCAAGGCTGTAATTATTTCCATGAAAGTCATGGTCATTCTTAACAAGCACAGGGTGCAGAATTCCCAGTCTGCACTGAGAGATACCAAGTATCTCTGGTGGTGAGCAATATTAAAAGAACCTGCTGGATCACCAGTTAGAGGTTCTCCTTTAACTGCCCCAGTAGAGCACGTGCCTGGAAATAATGGGGGGGACTCAGGGTCTAATCCCATTTCCCAACCTCTCACCCTCAATAGAACGTAGTGACGTGACGTGTACGTAGGGTTGTGTCCCACCTCCTGGAAACCACTCAGCACCTTTCCTTGGTGCACGTGGGGATATGAAGAACCACCACCACCAAGATGGGTTGGGTCTCTTCCCTACAAATACATCTCCCCTCGAAACGTCGTGGCCGTGTGTCTGTCTGCCCTCGGCGCGGTGAGTTTGGTTTGCTTTTTATTTGTGTGTGTGTGTGTGTGTTTGTCTGTGAAATAGTTCTGCATCTTCAGCCTTTTAGGTGACACCTGGATTTGTACACTGTATATTTATGTTTCAAGAGATCTTCATGTCTTTTTATGTACATAGTCTTGGGGTGGGGTGGGTTACGTCGCTTAGTTTTGACTTCACCTTTTAACGTCGTTTAAGAACGGTACAGAGTACTTCATTTTATTTTATTTTATCCCTTTTCCTCGTGTTATTTTTTCTAATTTAAATTTTTCTTGGGGTAGACTGGAGAGAAGAGAGAGAGGAACGAGAGGAGACAGGTTCCTGCAGGTGGTTTTCACCAGAGGTTTTTATCCATTCTCAATTTATCACCAGAATAAAAGGGAAATCAGGAAGCCAGGGGATGTGATGCGCAGGGAACAGTGGAGCTCTGAGGTGAAACTTTCAGGATGAAGTTAATTTTAAATTAAGGAGAGGTTTTTATTTTATCCCTTTGCTCTCCTCAACCTTCCTGGAAGGTCACATCACTTCTTCTCACGATGAAATAGCCCAGGGCTCTGCAGGGACCCGTGTCCGAGCCCGTATCCCTCACGTCACCATCCTGGTCCAACAAGAACTCAGCAGGGGCACACGTAGGCTCGCAGGGCAGGTAGTGACAAAACCAATCTCAACTCATTGATGAAGTTATCAGCGCTAATTGGTGTCACCTCATTTCCATTTGACATCCTCAAGGCTGGCAGGTGAACGTTCCCACAGGGACACGCGTGCCCGGAGCATCACTTTGTGTGCAGAGCCTATGGATGAGCTCAACGCTGTATTTTGAGGTGTACACATAGGGGTGGGTGTGGTTCTGTAAATATTTAGCAGAAGATAATGAAATTCCAGTGATGTACAAAAAAGAATAATAATAATTAATAATAATATTAATA